CGGGCATTGTGGCGGGCATCTGTGGTCCCAGCTACTCGGGAGGCTAAGGCAAGAGAATTGCCTAAGCCTAAGAGTTGGAGGTTGCTGTGAGCTGTGTGACACCATGGCACTCTACTGAGGGCGGTAAAATGGGATTCTGTCTCTACAAAAAAAAAAAAACCAAACAACAAAAAAATCAAACAAAAAACCCAATGTGAAACAGTAAATGTCATCATGTCAGCCTTAAGAATTGATAAGACTTAGTATGGCATGAGAAACCATATTAATTATTTGAAAATCAAAACACCATGAAGAAGCCAACACTACACATCTCCTGATTAAGAGAAAACCACCACTCAGCACAGGACAGCAAAGCCAGTATCATCTGTTCAAGCTGTTCTTTATTCTGAGACAGAGTCTTATTATGTTGCCCTCAGATGAGTGCTATAGGTTCACAGCTCACAGCAAAGTCAAACTCTTGGGCTTAAGCGATTCTCTTGCCTCAGCCTCCTAAGTAGCTAGGACTAGAGGCACCCACCACAATGCCCCTATTTTTTTTGTTGCAGTTGTCATTGACTTTTTTTTTCTTTGAGACAGTCTCCAACTGTCACCCTGAGTAGAGTGCTATGGCATCATAGCTCACAGCAACCTCAAACTCTTTGGCTTAAGAGATTCCCTTGCCTCAGCCTACCAAGTACCTGGGACTATCGGTGTCCGCCACAACATACAGCCATTTTGTTGTTGTTGCAGTTGTCACTGTTATTTAAGCTGGCCTGAGCCAGATTCGAACCCGCCAGCCATGGTGTATGTGGATAGTGCCCTACCCACTGAGCTATGGGTGCCGCCCTGTAGTTATTATTGTTTTAGCTGGCCTAGGCTGGGTTCGAACCCACCAGACCCAGTGTACATGACTGGCGCTGTAACCACTGTGCTATGGGCACCAAGCCTGTTCTTTTTTTTTTGAGACAAAGTCTCAAGTTGTCGGCCTGGGTAGTGTGCCATGTTGTCATAGCTCACAGCAAACTCCAGGGATCCTCGGGCTCAAGTGATCCTCTTGCTTCAGTTTTTCTATTTTTAGTAGAGACAGGGTCTCATTTTCACTCAGGCTGGTCTCGAACTTGTGAGCTTCCGAGAGTGCTAGGATTACAGGCATGAGCCACCACGCCCGGCCTGTTCATGCTGTTCTTAAACATGATCTTAACCCTTAATTCAATGTGATAGTGTATTCTAAAGAATACAATAAGACTGTGCTATCTTGGTAAGCTCGAATACTTTCTATATTCATTGCTGAGCCCCTGGAATACTGTGAAAGCATTAAGCACATTTACAGAACAGAAAAGTTTAAATTACTGTTTGGAGAAAAAGACTAACTAGGCTATAAACATTTGCATTATTAGAAAGGGGTATTTCTTTTTTTAAAATTTCTTTTCATTTATTTTTTTAAGCCTACAGTTCCTAGTATTCCCAGGCAGTCAAAAGAGGTATTTGTATCTGTTATTTAACAATATAGTTAAATTTGGAATTTCTAAAAACTTCCCAGATATGGTGGACATCAAGCTAAGTTATCTCTATATACAGAGAAATGTGAAGCATTCATGTGATCTGAGGAAGTACTAACACTGGATGCCACAAGTCCTTTCCAATCTAGACAGTCAGAACTAGAAACTTTCACTGGCAGGGACTTGGCAAATACTAGATACAAACACCCATCTCTTTCCCTCAGAAACATACCACACGTAGACTATTCCCCTTTGCAGGCTTCTGGTTCTTACTAAGAGTTAGTCAAATGTTAAACACAACTGATGTGAAGAAATGGTTCATAAGGGGACTGACAGAAAAAGCTGAGGGCTCTAGGTACTAGAATTCTTTTTTTTTTTTTTGGCTGGTGCTGGGTTTAAACCTGCCACCTCCAGCATATGGGGCCAGCGTTCTACTCCTTTGAGGCACAGGTGCTGCCTGGTACTAGAATACTTTTTCTTTTTTTTTTTTTTTTGAGACAGGGTCTCACTCTGTCAGGCTTGAGTACAGTGGCGTCATCATAGCTCACAGCAACCTCAAACACCTGGGGTCAGGTGATTCTCCTGCTTCAGCCTCCTGAGTAGCTGGGATGACAGGCGCTTGCCACCATGCCCAGATAATTTTTCTGTCTGTTGTAGAGATGGGGTCTTGCTCTTGCTCAAGGTTGTTGCAAACTCCTGACCTCAAGTGATCTTTCTTCCTTGGCCTCCCAAATTGCTAAGATTATAGGTGCAAGCTACTACACTCAGCTGTAGAATTGTTAATAAAGTGAAAGAGAACATTGGTGGTTATAAGGAAAGAAGCACTCTGAAAGAATTACCCCATGACACAGAAATTCCACTCCTAGACACTGATCTAGGAGAAAGCAAACACATGCAAGTCCAGGTAAAGATTTAAGTATTTATGCATTCACAGCAGCATCATGCATTATCAGCCAGAAGTGAAAACAACACAAACAGCCATCAACAGATAAATGGATAAATAAAACAGAGTACAGCCATACAACGGAATGCTATCAAGCAAGAAAAGGAACAAAGGATTGACACATGCCACCACATGGATAAACCTTGAAAAACATTATGCTGAGTGAAAGAAGGTAGTCATGAAAGAAAACACATTATATGATTCCATTTATATGAAATGTCCAGTACAAGTAAACTGCAGAAACTAGATTAGTAGTTAGCTGAGGGCTGGGGTAAGAATAAGAAGTAACTGTAATGGGGTATAAGGCCCCTTTTTGTGGTGATAGAAATATTCTAAAACTGGATTGTGGTGATGGTTCATCAACTCTGTAAATATACTAAAAGTCACTGAAATTTTCACTTAAAATAGGTATGTAAAGCATGCCTCCATACAGCTGTTAATTTAAAAAACCTTCTGGGAGCACATTAGATCTGGTTCAAGAAGATGTGTATACTTGCAAAATTTCTGGTGTACATCAGTTCCAAGTCATAACAGAGCCCAAGTTGAATTTATAAGGTGGGTTCTGGGATGTGTAGACATGAAACTAGGAGAGACCCCCCATTTCCACAGGACTGCCCCTCACAATCCACTGAGATGTTTGTCTTTGTGGTTGGCTCCCACAGGGGACTTGAAAGCTCAGGCTCTATCAGGTCTTTTTTTTTTTTTT